CACACACCTCCACGCTCCCCCTCCACACACGCACACACCTCCACGCTCCCCCTCCACACACGCATACACCTCCACGCTCCCCCATGAATGCTCACTTCTGCGGCCGCCTCAGCGGACAGCACCGCTGGCACCGTGTTCTGCTTCTTGAGCCGCCGCAGCGGTTCCAATCGCTCTCGCTCCTTCTCCACGGCCCGCTGGGCCTCGCGCAGCCGCTCCAGGTCATGCTGGTAGGCCTGCCGCTGCCGCTCCAGCTCCGCGCGCTCCTGGCCCAGCCGCTCCTGCAGCTGCTGTGCCTCGTCCTCGCGCTCCTGCAGCCGGGCAGCCGCCAGCTCCAGCTCCTGCTGCTGCCGTGTGCGCTCGCGCTCCCAGCGCTGCTGCTCCAGGCGCAGCTGGCCCTGCAGCTTCTGCACGCCTGCCAGCTCCTCGCGCTGCTTCTCAAAGGTGCGCTGCCGCTCCTGCTCCAACAGCAGGCTCCCGCGTGTTGACTGCAGCCGCAGCTGCTTCTCACGCTCTTGGATGGTGGCCCGCTGCATCTCCACGAAGCTGTCCTGCTGCGCGATGACCGCCTAGGGGATAGGGGTGCAGGACCATGGGCTGCGGGAACGCAGGCCAAGGCTCTGAGGCAGCTCAGGAACAGCCACACCCCCCTTCCTCCAACTCCAACCTAACTGAGGAGAGAGGCAGCCTGCAGCTTCTGGAAACCCCCTCACCTGGAGACTGAGGAGCAGCTGGGACAGCGTCTGGATCCGCTGGACAAGCTGTGGGAGAGAGGCACGCGGTTCTCCGCCTGAACCCGGGGTGGGCGGGCTCAGCAAGCCGGGGAGCCGAGCACCTACCTCCGACTCCAGGCCACAGGGACTGCTGTCTGCACCTGGCGCCTGTGGAGACAGAAGGGCAAACCACAAGGTGTGTGTCAGCCTGAAGCCAGCTCGAGGGAGGGAGGCCTGACCGCTGTTACTCAGAGATGCCGGCTCAGCAGGAGACAGGGCTGGGCCTGGACCTGGGAAGCCAGCACAACTTGACCAAGGCAAGCTCACGGAAGCTTCACAGACACATCAAAACTCCCTGAGGGACTGAATTACTGGGCTGAGGGCTGGGGGTCACGGTCTCGGGGGACATCTAGCTCAACTGGCATAACATAGTTTATAAAGAAAATGCTCTACATCCTACTCTGCTGAGTACCGTCTGGGGTTTTAAAAGCTTGTGAACGGCCATCTAAGATATTCCACTGGTCCCACCCCTTCTGGAGCAAGGGAGAATGAAGAAAACCAAAGACACAAAGAAAGATTAGTCCAAAGGACTAACGGACCACAACCACCACAGCCTTTGCCGGACTGAGTCCAGTATAACTAGATGGTACCCGGCTACCACCACCGACTGCTCTGACAGGGATCACAACAGAGGGTCCCAGACACAGCTGGAGAAAAATGTAGAATGAAATTCTAATTTACAAAAAAGGACCAGACTTACTGGTCTGACAGAGACTGGAGAAACCTCAAGAGTATGGCCCCCGGACACTCTTTTAACTCAGTACTGTAGTCACTCCTGAGGTTCACCCTTCAGTCAAAGATTAGACAGGCCCATAAAACAAAATGACACTAAATGGGCACACCGCCCAGGGCAGGGATGAGAAGGCGGGAGGGGACAGGAAAGCGGGACGAATGGTGGCCCTGGGTTCTCCCTCCAGGATCTGTCAGAGGTGGTCAACAGTGACAATGGTGTTTGCAGGGCCCTCCTGCATCCCAGTGGGGGATGTAGGGCCGGCGCACAGGAGGCCCGGAGGTTGGGTGAGCAGCACAGGGAGGGCAGCTCCACAGGTGACGGGGCGCCTGCCCTGACGGAAGCCCTCTGCTTGTCAGGGGTGTGCTTGCGGGAAGTCGGGCTTCTGAGTAGGAGGTGAGGTCAGAGCCGGGGACCCGCCTGGTGTGTCTCACCTGTTGATGGCCCCTCTCTGCCCCTCCCAGCCCTGCAGTTACAGGTCAGCCTCCCGCTGCCCTATGGCTGCAGGAGAAAACACTGAGGCCTGTTTATGGGTTGAATTGTGGCCCCTAAAAGGCATGCTGAAGTCTTAGCCCCGGTATCTATGAGCCTGTTTGGAAATGGGGTCTTTGCTGATATAACTAGTTAACACAAGGTCATGCAGGAGCAGGGTGGGTCCTAACCCCGTATCACTATTTCTTTATAAAACAGACAGACACAGAGGCAAAACAACCACGTGACAACAGAGGCAGAGACAGGAGGGATGCTGCTGTGGCCTGGGGCCACCAGCAGCTGGAAGGGACAAGAAGGATCTACAGCCTCTGGAGAGAGCATGGCCCTGCCAACTTCTGCCTTCCAGACGGTGAGAGAATGCATTTCTGTGCCTGTAAGTCAGCCCCAGGAACTCACACACCCGTCGGCCTCTACTCTGGGGTGTGTCATTCCCCATGAGACAGAGTGGCACCCGCTGCCAGTCGCCGCAAGGTGGGAAAACTGGACCCAAACACAGGCTGCCCATGCTTGTCCGTCACACTGAGAATGCCTATCCCAGGGGAGCCACGCACTGCCTGGGGGGCTTCCTCGGGGGCCCCTGGGGTGTCGCTGGGCTTCCCCTCGGGGCTGCTCGCAGGGCCTCTGCAGTCGCAGGTCCTGGGCTCGTTGCTGCAGACCTTTTTCTTGAAACTGCCATCTGAAACCAGAAGGCGGGCATGTTAGGATGTGCCAGGGCCCCCGGGTGTCTGCAGCCCTCCCCACCCGGGGTGGGAAATTGCGCCAGGTGTGCCACCACGCCCATGCTAACACGGGGAGGGGCATGGGCAGGGGGAGAGCCGTCAGGATGGAGCTCTAGGGCGTCTCAGAGACCAGCAGGGCAGGCACAGCTGTCGGAACATGACCGACAACACCCGGAGGGTTCCGGAACCCCAGACCATCGGGGGCTTTCTGCAAGGTCCAGGGAAAGAGGCGAAAGAGGGCTCTGCCCAGAAGCAGGGTGAAGGGAAGGGTCTAAGAAACCGCACAGCCTCAGGGGCGGGGTCAGACCCGCTGCTAACGCCCTTTCCCAGAGGGGCCTGCGAGAAGCCCCGGCAGCGGAGGGTGGGGAGGGTGACCACTCACTCTTGCTGAGGCTGACGGTGCTGTCATGGCCCCCGAAGGTCTCTGCCCTGTGGGGCAGGCTGCTGCTGTCCTCTGCCTGGCCGCTGGCACTGCCCAGCCGCCTACAGAGCAGGTTCTGGATGTCCTCAACTGTAGGGGAGACAGAAGGGGTGAGAGCCGCCCCATGGGGCCTGTGCTGCTGTCCCCAGGGCCAACCCCCCATCCTCTGATGTGGGATTTCAGTCCCCCTGGGGTTGTGCGCCCCTCACTGCAGGTCTGCCAGCAGGACATGCCAATTCACATCCAGACGTGAGGTCCTGGAACAGCTATGGTGGTAGGGGGTGGTGCGCCTCCCTGAGCACCAGGTGCTCACATCGCCCGCTGCAGCCCACCCAGTCTGCGTGGGGCCTCGGGGGCCTCGGGAGCCTGGGCACCTGCCTGCCTGCCGGTTCCAGGCCCTGGGATAGGACACAGGTGGGGCCGTTGCTTGTGTGCTGATGGTCACACATGAGGTCGGGGGCCGTGGAGGGGCAGTGGGGCGAGGAAACCCATGTTGCTTGGAGGTGGGGGTGGCCTTGGGAGGAAGGGCTGTCGCAGCAAAGCCCGGCAGAGCTGGCCAGATGCAGGGGGGTGGAGAACTTTCCAGGCCGAGGCACAGGGCATGGGAGGGTACTCAGGAGGCCAAGAACGGTCATTGGAGAAATGGAGAAGAATGGCGTTGGCGAGGTGAGGGATGGAGCAGGAGCAGGACCAAGCAGAGCAGAGTCCTGCGTCCATACGGCCTTGTCCTCTTCCCCTGCTGTGAGCACTAGAGGGCAGAGTGGTGCCGGCGCTCCTGCCGAGATGACCAGCAGCCACCACCAGCTGCTCTGGCACGGCCCCTCCGACTGCCCCGCATGGTGGGACCGGTGGCTGGGCTGGACAGGGTATCAGCACAGCCCGGGCAGGGTGGTGCCCTGGAGAAGCTAGGCCACCTGTGTGCCAGTGCCCCCAGCCACGGTGGCCACGGCGCCTGCATACAGATGGCGCTCAGAAGCATCTTCCCACAAGACTCTCCTATTCTCCACCAAACGCACTGCTGCCGTTAGCTGTCACTGAGTTGACGTGGACTCCTGGCGACCCCACGTGTGCAGAGCAGAACTGCTCCACAGGGTTTTCCTGGCTGTGATCTTAGCAGAAGCAGCTCGCCAGGCTTTTCTTCCCCACTACCACTGGGTATGTTATCAGTAGTGCTCAAACCGTTTGCGCCACCTAGGGACCTACAACAAGCACGCTGTTGTTATTAGCTGTGGTCGCCTCTGACTCCTGGTGACCCCATGTGTGCAGAGCAGAACTGCTCCACAGGGTTTTCAAGGCTGTGACCCTTCTGAAGCAGACAGCCATGACTGTCTTTCAAGGTGCCTCTGGGTGGCTTTGAACCGCTAACCTTTCGGCTGGTTGTCGAGCGCTTAACTTTGTGCCGTCCAGGGAGCCACCGTGTTTGTATGTGTTTTTCTGGGGGCATGACCAGTGACCCGCCTTTCAGAAAGATCAGGGACCTCCCGAAGATGGGGAGACCATGTTGGTCAGCTCCAGATCCCCAGGGCGTGGCAGGGCAGCTTGCATGCAGCAGGCACCCAGTGAGTGTTTGCTGAACGTGCAAGAAAGCGCCTTAACTCTGCGGTGGGGGGCAGGGCTGGGTCGTGTCCAGGGACCTTCTGGCTCTAACAGACAGTGGGGTCGGCACTGCTCCTGTGCGCGGGTCACCCAGCTGGATGCCAACGCGTGGGGATGGGGCATGCCAAGCACACTTGTGGTGTGTTGGCCTGAGGTTGCTGCACCGCCGCAAGGAGCTCCCCCAGCAGAACCACCACGTGGGAGGCGGTGCGCAGTGACAGCCCCCTGGCAGTGCTACTTACTCTCCGTCATGGCGGACCTGAGGATCAGCTCCCCCTGCAGGTTCTCGGAGGGGTCCCCTCCCCGGAAGAGCAGCCGAGGCTGGGGGCCCTGGGTGCAGTCCTCAAGGCCGCTCATCTCGGACATCTCCAGGAAGATCTGCTGCTTCTCGCTGAGGCTCTGGGCGATCAGCTGGTCTTTCATGCTCAGGCGTTCTGCAAGGAACCACAGGGCAAGGAGTCAGCCTGCTGGGTCCTTCCACCTGCAGGGGCCGGCGGGAGGCTGCGGGCACGGCTGCCCCTGGAGGTGCTCTCGAGCGGGCTGGCCTTCAGTCTGTTCAGATGCTCCAGCCCAAACCATCACCAGCACTGGACAGTAACGGGCCTGTCCTGAGGGGGATGCTCCCCATGCATACCTCTGTCCCCACAACCATCCCGGGAAGTGGGAGTTAAGGACTGCATTGTGTCACCCCAAAAGATACGCTGACGTCCTAACCCCAGTGCCTGTGAATACGACCTTGTTTGGAAACAGCGTCTTTGCAGATACGATTAGTTAACATAAAGTCATACTGCAGGGGGGTTCCCTAATCCTATGAGTGGTGTCCTTGTAAAAGTGAAGAGACACAGAGAGACAGAAGATGGAGGCGGAGACTGGAGTGAGGCGTGTACAAGCCAAGCAACGCCAAGGACTGCTGCCATCAGTAGAAGCAAGGAGAGAGGCATGGAACAGATTCTCCCTTGGAGCCCTTGCGAGGAATCGACATGGCTGACACCTTGATTTAGAACTTCTGGCCTCCAGGACTGTGAGACAACACATGTCTGTTGTCACAAGCCATCCAGTCTGTGGTGCTTTGTTACAGCAGCCGCAGGAGACTAACACCACGGGCGAGGGCATGGCCCTGTCTCCCGATCGTTCTCCCCAGTTATAAAGTCAAATACAGTGCGGCAAGTATCAGGCTGTTAAGAGACTCATTTATTAGGGAAGTCCTGGGTGGCACTAACAGTTAATGCGCTCCGCTGCTAACCTAAAGGCTGGAGATTTGAGTCCACCCAGAGGTGCCTCAGATGAAAGGCCTGGTGATCTACTTCCGAAAAATCAGCCACTGGAGAGCCTAGGGAGCGCAACTCTGCTCTGACACACACAGGGTTGCCATGAGTCAGAGTTGACTCAACAGCAACAGGTTTACAACACTTAGTTTTCTCATCTCAAGATAAAGGTTTTCTTCCTGTAACTCCGTCCTACAAGTCTCAGGATTTTATACTTTTTTTGCTGCTGTGAGTGGGACTTACTATACGTGCTTGCTATTTATTGCTAGTATACATACACCATGTTCGGCTAAATTACTGAACTCTCTTACTAGTTCCAATAATTCTTTAGTGCATCCCACTAGACTTTCTGGTAAATGATCATGTCATCTGCAAAATATAATTCTGTTGTCTCCATTTCAGTAATTATATCTTATTTCTGTTTCATCCCTTGTTACCCTAGCTGAAATTTCAGGATGAAAACAATAATGGCGAGCGTGGGCGGCCTTACCTTGCTCCGGATTTGAATGGGAGCGCCTCCAGTGTTTCACTCTTTACGGATTCAGCTTTTGATTCAAGATGGTAAAGAACGTCTAGCTCACAGGTATGAGCTGGGACACCGTGTTGAGCTCCTCCCCTCTCAGGGGGGTCTGAGCGAGGACAGGGTGGGGGCAGCATGTGGCTGAACAACTGGATTTGGAAGGGGCTCAGGGGCTCTGAACCCTACCCTCTCCCCCTTGCCCACAACCCCCAGGGAGGGCTGTGCAGCCTCCAGAAAGTCCCTGCCTCATGACCCAGCCCCACCTCATCACGCTCAGCCAAGCTGCAGGACACGAGGCAGACCACAGAAGCGCCCTGTCATTTGGGCAGGGCTTTGTGCCGGGGTCAGTCTGGACGGGCCAGACAGAAGTGCCACCGGCAATGGGTGGGCTTGCTGTCTAAGGGGGAGTCTGTGGGGCCATCCCACTTGGGGATACACACGTCCCCACTGCTGGGCTCCCCCACCCCCAACCCCGTGGAGGTGGCCCAAGGCTGGGCAGGCAGGCACGGAGGTCCTAGCTGATTCCCCTTACCCTGAAAGTCCCTCAGTCTCATGGCACGGGCCTCAACCATCTTCCTTTCCTCTTCGGCCTCGCTGAAGGCACCTTCCTCCTCGTCTGAACAGCTGTGGGGAGAGCGGGAGGTGGAAGGGATGTCTCACAGGCCTGCTTGGCCTCTGAGAACTGACAATGAAGGTTTACCTGCACAACCGGGTACTGAGAGTATCCTTGATTTGGTGAGTGATTTAGCTTGTTAATGGTGCAGGGGAAACAAGAGGGGGAGGGGAGAGAAACCCACCAGCATTCGCCCAGCTCGGTGGTGGGCACTGAACATGTCAGGACACAACTGACCGGCCTGTTATAATGCTTGGCCTTGACTGGGAGGAGATGGCTGATGAGCTAATGAACTAATGGGCTGATGGACCAATAGGTCAATGGACTGATGGACCAATGGGCCAAAAGACTGATGTACCAACAGGCCAGTGGACTGATGGACCAATGGGTCAACAGACAGATGGACCAATGGGTCGATGAACTGATGGACCAATGGACCAGTGGGTCAAAAGATTGATGGACCAATGGGTCAATGGACTGATGGGACAATGGGCTGATAAACTGATGGACCGAAGACCAAAGGGCCAATGGGATGATGGACCGATGGACTGACCAGTGGGTCAACGGACTGATGGGCCAATGACCAATGGACCAATGAGCCAATGGGTTGATGGACTGATGGACCAACAGGCTGACAAACTGACAGACCAATAGACTAGCTGACTGATAACACCTATTCAATGAGGATGTGCCAGGCAGGAGAGGCTGCCAGCTCCAGCTGCCAGCTCCAGCTGAGCTGAGGCTGGGAATGGTATCAAGGGAGCTCTGAACAGGGTAAGACTTCAGGAGGCCTCCAGTGTAAGGAGAGGGGACGGGAGGCTGGCTGAGCACAGGGACCGGAACACCTGTCCTGCCTGTTGGTCAGATGGACCAGGAGCCAGGAAGGGGAGTGCTGGGCAACTGGCGGAACTAAAGGGCTGGGGTCCTGAGGGAGGCTCAACCCGAGGACAAAGGACAGGATGCACCACCCGCTCCGACAACCCACCATTTCAGGTGGAGAACTTGTGAATACAGGAAGGCCCAGGCTGGAACATTCTGGACCTTTTCTGCATCCGACAGGTGGAGCTGATGTCGGAAGGAGCTGGAATGGGGCCACCTGTCCCTCTGAGGGAAGGTGAGGCACTGAGCACAAAGGTGGGATGAGGGAGAGGAGAAGCAATTAATCAGGCAGGTCAAGATTATGGCTGATTCGCTAGGCATCAAAGACAAGTTCAGAGCAGGAATGAGGCCCCCGGTCCACCTCTCCACGGCCCTGCGGATGTGGGCCATCCAGGTGTTCCGCTCCTCCTTGGAGCCGGCGTAGATCTCGTACATCTCAGGCCCCTTCAGGGAGGCGCTGATGAGGAACATGGCTTTCTCCTCGTTGGCCACCTCCCGCACGATGAGCTTCTGTAGAGACACGACGGGCAGCTTCGAGTCCTGCAGAGGTAAATGGGGTGCGGAGGGTCACTCTTATCTGACCACACCCGCATGGCACTGGAGTCATGAGTCTGGGGGAGGGGCTGAGAGGGGCAGTCATGCGCCCACTTCTGGACACTCAGAGCAGAAACGCTCTGCCATCTGGGTGAAGAAAGACACCATCGTAGTGATGGAGGTTGTTGGTGGCTCCGTGGTGGGATTCTCACCTTCCGTGTGGTTCCACTCCCAGCTAATGCACCCCACGTGCAGCCACCGGGCAGCATTTCATTCCACTGTGTGGGGGGTCACCCTGAATCGGGGACTGACTCCATGCAGCTAACAACAGATCTTCACTGGTCTGAGTCGGTTTCTAGTAATTGTGTGAGACACCTGTTCGACCAGACAGCTTGACCCAGTTTGTGGGGGATGGGAGGAGCAGGGGAGGATGAGAAACTTCTAGAGATGTTGTTTTATACACAATTCTATTGCTGTTGTTAGCTGCTGTCAAGTTGGCCCCCGACTCATGGCGATCCCACGCACAATGGAACGAAACGCGCCTAGTCCTGCACCGTCCCCATGATTGCTTGCGGATCGGACCATTGTAATCCACAGGGTTTTCAATGGCCGATTTTTGGAGGTAGATCGCCAGGCTTTTCGTCCTAGTCTGTCTTAGTTTGGAAGCTCCACCGAAGCCTGTGCAGCATCACAGCAACACGCAAGCCTCCATGGACACACAGGTGGTGGCTGCGCGTGAAGTGCACCGGGCGGGAGTGGAGCTGGGTGTCCCGCACGGGAGGTGAGGATTCTACCATGCACACCCAACACTGCAGTCTGGTCATGGAGGCCGCCTGCCTCTCAAGGTGGACCCGGAAGCATACAGGTTCTCGGAGGCCCCAGCAGCTGGCGTCCGTTGGCAGAGGGCCCGACACCCTCCCCACACAGGGTCTGCCCTGTTGGACGCGGGCAGGACCCTGGGTCATCCTAGGTGAATGCGGGAGGCTGCCGAGCCCCAGGGGGCATAAGGCTGGGTGGGGTGGGGTGGATGGAACCCCACCCAGCCTGATTCCAAGTCTGCCGTGCATGGAGCGGGGTGTGGCTGCTGAAGCCCCCACAGCCAGGCATGATTCTGTGAGAAGGGACCCAGTGTGCTCTGGGGTCCCCCACTCACAGCTCACGGGCTAGCGCCTCCTTGAGTTCGGAGCTTCAGTGACAGAGCCAGTAGCTCCCCAGACAGAAGGAGGGGCTTTCCTGCAAGGACTCTGGGGCCCGTGACTAGCGTGCCTGCGTGTGAGAGGAAGAAGCAGGAAGATAGAGTGTCTGAAATGGGAGTGGATGTGAGGACGAGAACTGAAAGCTTCTTGCCTGCCCCACTGCTCGTCCGGCAACAAGGCAGGCAGGACCCTCATTCTCAGGACGTGTGGCCCCTTCCTGGCTGGACCCTCTGGTCCCCGGGTGGGCCTGGACGCCGGGGTCACTCACGGATGCATGTGTCCAGCCACTCCTGCCCTCCGGCCACCCCCTCCCTCAGCCCAGGTCGGAAGTGGAGCATAAAGCCCCACAAGCAGGACGTGAAGGGACGAGAACTTACCACAGAAGCAAAGACGTACTTCTGGTCCTTCTCTTGTAGCAGCAGGAGGACGTCTGTCAGCAGAACAGCAAGCACATCTGACGAGAAAGCACAATCACAAGAGAAGGGGCTTCGTGGGTCTGCTGCCGGGGGACCTGCAGGCAGCCCAGCGACCGCCCCGTGGGAGGGAGACTGCAGACACTGGCAATGCTGTGAGGCAGTCTTCCGACCTCAGCCCTGCCCGTCATCTGCCAGGCTTCCAGCATTTAGCCCCAATTAAGGGCTGGAGTCGGCTCCGCCAGGCCCCTCAGCCTCAAACTCAGGATCTGCCGAGCTGCCTGTCCCTTCGGATGGCCCTCTTGGTTCAGTGATGCCCACTGGGTCTGGTCTCTCTGAGTCTCTCGCTCAGATTTCTCAAGCGTGGACTGACCCGTTTTCTTCGCCCTCAGGTCACCATGGGCCTGAGCCGCTTGACCTCGCCTCCCGCCACCTCCTGCAGTGACGCGTGCCAGGGCCTGTCTCAGGCCCCAAGCCTCCTAGTGGCAGAGGCTCGGGCCTGGTCCCTTTCGGAACATCTCCCGGCATCCTGCACTCAGCCTTTGCATTCAGTAAGCAACTCCTGAATTGAATTTCCTATCGGAACACTTGTGTCAGCGGAAAGCGTCAATGTTACTTTCTCAGGGGAGCTTCTTCTGACATGCCTAACTGAAAATACAAAACAAAAAACCCCAAACCCGTTGCCTTCAAGTCGATTTTTGACTCATAGTGACCCCACAGGACAGAGCAGAACTCCCCATAGGGTCTCCAAGGAGTGGCTTGGTGGATCTGAACTGCCAACCTTCTGGTTAGCAGCCGAGCTCTTAACCTGCGCCACCAGGGATTGTCCGACATGCCTACTGGTATCTGTATTAGATACTCTTGCACGGCTTCCTTTAAAGAATTTACCGTACTTTTAACTTTTTATTTTTTGTTTACTTCTTCCTTTCTTCCACGATGACTGAAGCTCCACAAGGGCAAGGACCAATCCAAAATGATGCCTACCCCCATCTTGGTGCCGGGCACACGGGAGGGATTAATTATGTTTGCTAAATACACGCCCCCTCAAATTAAGAAGAAAGGCATTCTGTCACTTAGCCACCTCCAGTACTCCCCTAAAAATCTTTCTTAAAGATGCCCAGGCCAATGAGCACATTGCTGTGGACTGAATATGTGTTGGAAGCCTAACCCCTATCCCTGTGGATATAATCCCATCTGGGAATAGGGCTTTCTCTGCTATGTTCGTGCGGCTGTATCAGTGCGAGGTGTGTCTCAAACCTAATCACTTTTGAGAGAGAGAAGATCAGGCACAGAGGCAGGCAGGCATGAATGGGGGAAAGATAGATGTCACGTGGAAATCGCCAAGGACCAAGGAATGCCGGAGCTGAGAAGCAGAGACCAGGATCCAAGACGACACCCACTGATGCAAGGTGATGCCTAACTGATCCAAGACGATGCCTACTGATCCAAGATGGTACCCACCAACGCAAGATAGTGCCCACCAATCCAAGACAGCACCTGCCAATCCAGGATGGCGCCTGCCTATCCAAGATGCCACCCATCAATCCAAGATGGCACCCACCGATGCAAGATGGCGTGCAGTGGGGGTGGCCAGGGGTAGGACTTTACCTTTCAGGCGCCCTGACGTGCTCTTCCAGCACAGTGCGCCTTCCAGGTGGAGCTGCCGCTGCAGCATATCCTCCTTGCGGAAGGTCAGCCCGTTCTTGAGTTTGCTGGAGGACTTCAGGTCCATCTTCCCTGCGATCTCCCGGAGGCGCTGGCCTTTCTCGCACTCGCTGACCCTGGCATCCACTTGTGAGATGATGTCTTTGATGAGGTTCAGGGCCTGGGTGAGGTCGTCGTAGTCCTTGGTGCCAGCTGCCACACAGAGCAGAGTTAGTCCTTTCTTTGTCTGAGTCAAGGGACACAATAGAAGTGGACACCCGTTCACAGGGTCCGTGAGGTGCATCCCCTGAGGCCACTGCTCGGAGATGCCTCAGGAACTGCTCTCCTACAATGTAAAATGAATGCTTCTCGAAAACGAATGCAACAGCTCAGTGTTTAGTTCTTACCAAGACAGAGCTGTGTAACGCATATCTAAGATGCAAGTCGAGTGACAAAAACGGCCCTGCACGGCTGGACACCACTGCATAGCAAACACACTCCCCGTGCCCTCCAGCCCTTCACAAAAGACTCCCCCTGCCTTCTGCCATGCCTAAGAGCTAGTCCCTGCCTGTCCAGGGACGGAGCTTCTGTGGCCAGGGAGTGTGCCCACCCCACAATCCCCTGGGGCTGTGGTCAGCATTCCCCCGGCCTCTCGCTAGGCTGCATGCCCTTTCTCTGCCCTTGCAGGCACAGCCCACTCTTGTAACACTGAGGTCACCTCTGTGCCTGTCTGGATCACCAGGAGTGGGCTTCACAAGGGCACTGTCTCCATCCCTTCATCCACTCCATGGATGGTGACCAAGTACCTGTGCCACCCAGCTGGCTAGAGGCTAGGGGGTGTTGTTGTTAGGTGCCATCAAATCAATTTTCGACTCATAGCAACCCCATGTGATGGAGTAGAACTACCCCACAGGGTTTTCTAGGCTGTAATTTTTACGGAAGCAGATTGCTAGGTCTTTCTCCTGTGGAGCTGCTGGGTGGGTTTGAACTGTCAACCTTTCAGTTAGCAGCCGAGCACTTATCCATCATGCCACCAGGGCTCCTTAGGGGCTAGAGGATGGAGGTGGACAAAGCAGACGCGGCCCCTGCCTTCTTGGTGCTGGCCACCACATCCATGACCCCGGCACTGAGCACAGCAAGTTCCGCGTAGTGGGTGCTCAGTGAACAAGCACTGAACCCAGCTGCCTTTGGAGAACCAGGGACAAAGCACAGAGGGGGCTTTATGCAGTCCCCCACTAATACAGGGGGCAGGCAGCGAGGACGGCCACGTACCCTCCGTGTTCTGAATAATGCGCTCCACCAGCACCGGGTATTTGGTGATGCGCTGGGTGACCAGAAGGATGCACTCCTGAACGCCCAGCCGCCGCACGATGGAAAAGTTGCCGATTTTCTACGGGATGGAAAACAGAACACACCATGTTAACATCTCACCACCTGCCCAAACAGGAGAGGTCGGTGACCAAGGTGGGGGCCCTTCCTCTCCCTGCTCGGGGGCGGGGGCGGGTTACACGTGGGACACACGCCAAACACCTGACAGCACGAGTTGCCTGCTGTGTACAGAAAGGCCAAAAGGCAAAGGTGGCATCACCTGTGGTGTGAATGGGAGCCCTGAAGGACCCAGGAAGAAACAAGGACCAGACTAGTGATTCTAAGTCTGGCGTGGTTCCCAGAGTCACCTGGCAAGCTAGCCAACACGCACGCATGCGCACACACACACCCCACACACACCCCGCACCACACACACACACCCCACACTGCACCACACACACACACCGCACACCCACACCACACACACTGCACCTCACACCCCACACTACACCACACCCACCACACACACACACACCCCACACCACACACACCACACACACCACACACATACGCAGGGGAAGACCCTAATCCTGACCAATGGCTGTCAGAACCTTCCGGAACTAGACTGGGTGTGTGCCTTCTGAGCCGGCTCTCTGCCGGCTCCCGACGCACACTTTGCCACCCTGGCTCAAAACCAAAGAAGCCATCCTCTGTTGTTGCCAGGCGCCGCTGAGTTGGCCCCCAACTCACGGCGACCCCGTGCATAATGGAACGGAATGCTGCCCCCATCCTACGCCATCCCCGTGCTCAGCTGTGGATCAGGCCGCTGTGATCCATAGGGTTTTCACTGCCTGATTAAGTAGACCACCAGGACTTTCTTCCCAGTCTGTCTTAGTCTGGAAACTCCGCTGAAACCTGTTCAGCATCCAAGCAACATGCAAGCCTCCACTGACAGACAGGTGGTGGCTGCACTTGAGATGTACTGGCCGGGAATCAAACCCAGGTCTCCAGCATGGAAGGTGATCGTTCTACCATTGAGCCACTGCTCACCCCAAAACCAAACCCGATGCCATCAAGTTGATTCCGACTCATAGTGACCCTACCCAACAGAGCAGAACTGCCCCCATAGGGTTTCTAAGGAGCAGCTGGTGGATTGGAACCACCGACCTCTTGGTTAGCAGCTGAGCTCTTAACCACTGCGCCACCAGGGCTCCGAACCACTGCTGCATCTGTTGAAAAGGTGAGTGCTGATTCAGTCAAGTGGCGTTAGCCCAAGTGAACTTTCTAGGCTGTGGGAGACGGCATCTTCTTGACTCTGCTGACTCAGGCTGTGGGAGGTGCTTTTGGTTCTAGGATTCAAGCACCTGCACGCTGTCAGGGAGAAGTGGGACGCGTGGGCCACAGGCCCCCGGGGACAAATGTGAACCAGTGAGGGGAGGGGATAAAGGTTTAGATAAGGATCGACTCACAAGAGCAGGGGAGCCCCTGGGTGGCACTGGGCTACTAACTGAACGGCTAGCAGTTTGAACCCACCCACAGGAACCTCAGAAGAAAGGCCTGGCAATCTACTACCAAAAACTCAGCCATTGAAAACCCTGCGGGGCACAGTTCTACTCTGACACACACGGGCTGCCATGAGTCACCGTCGACTTGACAGCAACTGGTTTACCACAGTGGGGGGCGCTCAGTGGAGAGTGAGACAGGCTGTGGTGGGGTGGTACGGGCAGGCCCCTTGAAATGACGCTCACGTGTCATCCCAACAGTCCAAGGAGTGTTGGTCAGTGGGCTCCACAGCAGGGCCTGTAGGGGCACCGCAGGGGCCAGCCAGGTGTGGGAAGGGACAAATGGCTAGGTAACGCTTTGCCTGGACTGGCTTTATAGATCAGGATTCTACGGAGGATTTTATTGACAAAGGGCTTGTGGTTAAAAACAAAAGAAAAAGTGGAACATCACTGTATCTTACAAACCTGAATTCCCAAGATTCTACAGCTCTGTGGCAAAAACCTACAGCAAAGAGAGTAAGCTTTTAAGTAAAAAAAAAAAACGTTTTTTCGTTTTTACCTTGATCAAGTTCTGAAATTTCTTGTTGTGCTGCAGCAGCGACTTGTAATGACTGACAGCTTTGTTGTGGCCGCTACAAAAGATGCCGTATTTTTCCTTCATTCTTTCTCCGTTCTCACCTGAAAACTAGTATAAAAGAGAACAGAGATGTTACCGTAACGGAGCGAGGCAGGCCAGTTGTTTAAAACTGCTGGGGCATCTTCTAGCGCGCTCCTCTGCTGCTGCTGAAGTAACGGCTGAATTTATTTGCAAGCTCACTTCCTTCTCTAATACACAGTTCAAGAGACGAGTGCTTCAGAACGGGGTGTCTAATCCTAAAACCAACCAAAAAAACCCACTGCCGTCGAGTCAATTCTGACCACTCACAGCAACCCTACAGGACAGAGTAGCGCTGTCCCATAGGGTTTCCAAGGCTGTAACCTCTAGGGAAGCAGACTGTCACATCCTTCTTCTGCAGAGTGGTTGGTGGGTTCAAACCACCGACCTGCTGGTTAGCAGCCGAGCACTTAACCATTGTGCCACCAGAGCTCCTTCATCTGACCCCAAGGTATGAGACAGCTGTAAGGAGATGACTTTCTGCTGAAGGGCTTCTCTATGCCACAGATGCTGTAAACCTTCCTGAAATCCATGAGGGAAAAACAGAAGTTTAAACTAAGGAATGTCAGAAAAATTAAAGGGCAAACGGGGATGTTCTTCCAGTCACTTCTAATTAACTGACCCAGAAGACTCCGAGCACTGTGTCAGAGGGCAGCACTACAGCCGCCTCCGTCCTGCCTAGACTCTGCCGACATCACACGGGGCCAAGCCCCCACCGAGGAGGCTCTGGCCCACAGGTTACACTTCTAACAGTCAGAAAGACAGCAGGCAGATCCCAAAATTAAAAAGTAGCCAGCAACCAGACAATCACACAAAAGCATACTACATTGAACCGTGTTTGGACAAGTACACTTGCTATCTGGGCCTGTGTGTTTCTAGAACACTAGCCGAGCCCACAGCTCTAGGGCCCAGCACCGCTTCTGTTGGCAGCAGGCATTCAGGACGCGGGAAGAACAGAGGTGGGGCCGTGCGCACCCGGCCCCTGCAAGCGCTTTGGCGGCGCCCACCTGCTGCACCAGCAGGTCCCCGATTCTCTGGATGATGTAATTGCGGTCACTGCCCTCCTCCAGGGACTCCTGGCGGCGCTCCTTCAGCCGGGCAAGGAATTGGCTGTGCATGTCCAGCAGGTCGTCCGCGCACGGGAAGAGGTGGCCGATAGCCTTGCTGCTGAACTGCAGCTCCTCGCGCAGGGCCCGGGAGTACACCTTCAGCATGATCTTGAGTGTGCGTACATGGTGCACCTCCGTCTGCATCAGCTCTGTGGGGACACGGACGGAGGACTTACCTGTGCTGAGGAGGACGCCGGCTCCACGGCTCGATGCACGTGCACGCGAGGCGCGTCTGGCAGCTCTGTCCCTCAGGAGGTCCTGGCTGCCTGCATGAGCCAGGCACTCTTCTGGAAGTTTCTGCAGGAGCCCTTGCCCTTGTAGTCTCACTGCCCAGGTTTCCATACCTCCTGTCCTCCCTCCTAAGGGACGGGGGGGTAGTGACGGGAGGAAAGGAGAGGACCAAGGAGGTGCACTGGGACCTCTAAAACCCAGTCAGCTGAGGAAAGTTCAGGCAGTTTTAAGCAAGATGTTTGGTGAACACCATTCTTTGGGTGCCAGTCTCACCCACTGCCATGCTTGTGGTCAGACCCAGCCTACAATGGGCACAGGGAAAGCAGCGCTCACATGAGGATTTTAACGCATTATCTAAGGCAGAGAATGGCTATACGTTGCTCTTGAGTTTATCTGCTGTTCTCAAGGCCGGGGTCAAGAACTGGAGTTGTGGACAGGCATGGGGGAGCCAGGCACCATGGAAAGCACCTGCGCGACTCTGTGCAAATGTATCGGGAGTGGGTACGTTCTCTCCCTGCGGAGAGCGTTCCTAGCTTTTGCTGGATTTTCAAAGGCAGGGGCCCCAGAAGTTCAAGGATTATAACAGGTCAAAGCGTGAAGAACTGGGCCCCTTCAAGGGCACTGTGGTCGCTGCTCTGCGGGTTCCTGGAGCCCAGAGGAGGGGGCCGTCTCACCTTGGACAGCTGCCCGGGCTCTTTTCCTTACCTGGTTTCTTCTTTTTTGTAAATAATAGCTTTACTGGGATATAATTCACACACCATACAATTCCCCCTTTCAGAGCTTACCATTCAGTGGTTTTTAGCACTCACAGAGCTATGCAGCCATTACCACTACCTAATTCTGGAATATTTTCATCACCCCAAAAGGCAACCTTGCACCCGTTAGTTGTCAGTCTCCATTTCCCCATCTCCCAGCCCTTCTGTTGTTGCTATTGTTAGGTGTTGTCAAGTCGATTCCAACGCATAGCGACCCCGTGTGACAGAGCAGAACTGCCCCATAGGGTTACCTAGGCTGTACTCTTCACGGGAGCAGATTGCCAGGTCTTTCCTCCTGTGAAGCGGCTGGGTGGGTTTGAACCACCAGTCTTTCGGTTAGCAGCCAAGTGCTTCACCGTTGCCCCTCCAGGACTCCTTGTTGATAAACTAGATTACACCAGTAACAACAGTTTCTGCCCGGCAAAAACCCTCCATAAGCAAAGGTGAAGGACAAAAGACAAACTGTGAAAAATACTTGTAATTCATATCACAGACAAAAGGCTGACCTCCCTAATTCATAGAGAACCCTTAAATATGATTGAGAATAGGACTAATAAGCAAATAGAAAGTTGGGCAAAGGATTTGTACAGAATAGGAAATACAAATGACTCCCAAGTATACTAAGACGTGTTCAACCTAGCTGATAAGAGAAACGCAAGTTAAAACGACATCACGACGCCCTTTCACCTTCTGGACTAGCGAAAACACAGCCTGTGGCCCCGGGATGGAGACCTGGACCGTCCCACCCAGTGCAGGTGGGACTGTGAGTTGTATGATCTCTCTGGAAGGCAAACTGGCAGTATATACATAAAAATTACAAACATGTACTTCCTGACTCGGCAATCCCATTTCTGGGAACTTCTCCTACAGATATACTTGCACACAGGCAAAATCATGCACTTCTAAAGTGATTCACGGCAGCTTTGTTTCCTGCAGCAGAAAGGAGGCAATGAAGGACGGACACACGTACAATGGAAGACCAGGTAACTGGAGCGACCTCGTGTGGAAAGACGTCCAAGACTGGGGTAAAGTAAGAAAAAAACAGTGGAGAAGCGGGAGAGGGGAGAATAGGGAGTGACTGCTTAATGAATACGGGATTTCCTTTGGGGCAATGAGAATGTTCTGGAACTAGATAGTGGTGATGGTTCCACAACACTGTGAAAGCACTAAATGTCACTGAATTTTATACTTTACAATGGTCAATTTTATGTGATGTGTATTTTACCATGATTAAAAACAAAAACGAGCAAGGGGCAGAACAATATAGATACCATTGTACTTTTTACGTAAAAAGGGGGAAAAAGAAACTCTGGAAGGATCCAGAACACACAAATAACACTGGTTACCTGTTGGAGGGACAGGAATAGCACAGACTGGGGACAAGGGCATGAGGGTGATTTTTCCTTGAGTATCTTGCTATATTTAAAATTTTTTTTGAACCATGTGAATGCTTTTTAATATGTAACACAATAAGGCATTATGTCTAAAGACCCATTAAAAACAGTTGTGCCCTTCAATCCAGTAATCTCACACCTAGAAAATTTTATTCTAAGAAATCAAATCAAAAAAGAAAAAAAGGTATTTACTGCAAGGCTATCTTTAATAATGGTCTAAAGTGTTCCAAACCAGCTGCCGTCGAGTCAGCTCCGATTCATGGCAACCCTACCTGTGCAGAGTAGAACTGTGCTCCATAGGGTTTTCAAGGCTGTGACCTTTCAGAAGCAGATCACCAGGCCTGTCTTCTGAGGCACCTCCAGATGGGTTCGAACCGCCAAATTTTGCTTAGTTGTTGAGTGCTTAAACGTTTGTGCCACCAAGGGACTCTGCTAAAATGTTTAGCACATCTATCATAGCACTATTTATTATTCCAAAAAACACAACATAACCCAGTTGCCCATTTGCAGGCGAAAGGCACATTCGTGCTCTATCGCCATTAAAAAGAACAAGGAAGGACCAAAAGTCACAACTTGGAAAGACTTCTGTGATGTAAGACCATCAAATGTTGTGTGGCCCCAGTTTTGATATTTCAATTCCTTGAATTCTAGTGCAGCCATTTCAAATCATAATTTCAAACACCGTGTAAGATAGAAAAGCTTCAAAAGAACGGCATATTCACTGTATAAGATATTTATGCATGCCGTCCAAGATGAGCGAAATGTGAAAATGAGATCAGCTGTGTTGCTGTGGAGATGCAGTCATTTCTCGACTCTACACATGCCCTCAGGAGCTGCAATGAGCTAAGCGGGCCATCTGGTGTTCCTGGCGCCCCTCTCTGCCCCTCTGAACCCCTCTGCTATACACGATCAGTAAAGTGATCTGTGCCACCACTGGGCTATTCCACGAGTAGAATTCCCCAGAAGCAGGGCCTTTGCAACAACAAAACATACCAAGTGCTTACTATGAACCAGGCGCTGTGCCAGGTGGCGTGTGTGGCGCAGGTGTGTGCCAGGGCTGCTGAAACACCTGTGTGTGGCTGATGCTATTAAGGCCAAATATGGTGGAGACAAGAAGTTCGAGGTGTCCAGAGGAGGAAGGAACACTGTGTGCGGGCCAGGAGTGACACAGAAGATTCTAGAAAGGGACAGAACTGAAGGCGAAAGGGATTCTGACAGGAGTTAGCAGAGGAGTGGGATTCTGGCAACCCTCACAGGACAGTGCTGAGAGCTGTTTGGTCTCCACGGTGCCAAGCCCTGGGCCACCAGCCACAAGGGGCTGAGGCAGTCTGTGGGGGCCCAGAGGGTGTGATGATCTGGCAAAGGGCTTGCCCAGATGGAGGTATCTGGACTGCGTCTCTGCAGGATCTATGGCTTAGCTCTGGGACCCTGGGGGGGAGTGCTCAGCTGGATTCTCCTCCTTATTGACGACCCAACTAGTCTGACCCAGGTGAGAGCTCTGTATCTGAAGAGTGGGAAGGCTGGGCCAGTGGGGATGCCAGAAACTTCTACATGGGTGAAAGTAAAAATGCTTCTACACCGGATCTCCAGGAGACCTGGGGGTGCAACCAGGTGGTCAATTAATTACTTTTGTGTGTGGCCTTTCTAGCCATGGTCTCATAACTCCCACCTAGGTGAGTGGGTGGGACTGTGTGATAGGGTAATTGTGGCCTACCAAGGGGATCGGTCAGTTCTGCCTTAAAAGAGAGCCAATTCCAGAGTAGAGAGGAGGATCCCACCAAGGAAAAGCCCACCACCACCAAGGAAGGAGAAACCAGCAGGAAAGACTCGGCAGGAGAGACGGTGTGGTGGGCTTCCCTGCCCACGGAGAGAGAAAGCTGAGTGCCTTTGGGCAGAGACTGAGGGCCAGGGAGAGGCGTTGTTTGGAGGCTGGGTTGGGAGAGGCTGTCCTGATGGAAGAACTGTATCCTGAGTGTTCTTGAGCCTGAACTGTAACTGTTATTTCCCCAATAAAACCCATAATTGTGAGTATGGTCTGTGAGTTCTGTGTGGTCATTGCAATGAATTACTGAACCCAGTAGAGAGTGCTGTGTGAGGGACGGTTCGTGTTAGAATGAGTAGGGATGACCTTGGCCTCATAGGAATCAGCCCTGGGCTGTTGATCTTGGTTCTCCTGCCCCCTCTTGGGGTTGGCGGAAGTCAGACACCTCCCCCAAGCCATTTTTACAAATGGGTTAAGCGCTCGGCTGCTAACCAAAAGGTTGGTGGTTCAAGCTCACCTAGCGGCTTTGCGGGAGAAAGACCTAGTGATTTGCTCCCGTTGAAATTACAGCCTAGGAAACCCCACAGGGCAGTTCTATTCTTGCCTATAGGGTCGCTATGAGTCAGAATCAACTCGGTAGCACCTAACACCACGGAATCTCGTCACTGAAGGACAGGAAAGTACCTTCTCGGGTGACACATGCTGTCAGCCTTGGGGGAACGGGCCTCGTGGAGGCAGACTCGTGTGCAGCACCCGCAGTACTCACAGGGCCCTGGGCTGAGGGGCCTACTGCCTTGGGCAGGTCCTCTGCCTGAGCTCGGCCATCCATCAGCTAACTCGTGGGGGTCCAGAGGCCGGGATGGGGGGACTCAGGTGAAGCTCCCAGCGTGTCGCCTGGCACGGGGGTGGGGACCCGTGTCTGCAGCCTCATTCTCATTCAGTAACTCCCCACCAGTGACCGTGACCTCGACACCCCATCTCAGAGGGAAGCGGCCGTCCCCGGCCAGGTTTTTCGACGGCCGGCAGGAAGGGGCTGGAAGCAGTGTGGGCTCTGGGAAAGAAGCCCACTACGGAGACCGTGCTAATCACGCCTGAGAGAGGGACATGCCTCCAAAACCCACCCTCTCACCAAGGTACCCTGGCAGTGCAACGGTTAAGCACTTGGCTGCTAGTCAAAAGGTTGGTGGTTTGAACCTGCCCAGCTACTCTGAGGGAGAAAGACCTGGTGATCTGTTCCCATAAAGATTACAGCCTAGGAAACCCTATGGGACAGTTCTGCTCTGTCACCTGGGGTTGCTATGAGTTGGAACTGACTTGGAAGGCACCCAACAACAACCACCACAGCCAGACCTGGGCTGTCTAGGGGTCACCAGGGACAGCTGGGGTGGGACTGGCAGGCGTGTCTCAGGGTCACGGGGTGTGGGTGGAGACAAACAGGTCAGCACGGGTCACAGCTGGGCCACAACCACCCAGCAGGGACCTGTTCTCACAAAGCTGCTCCCACACCTCTTCCATGCCCCCGCAGGGAGGCTGGTGGATGGCCGTGTAGTCTTGTGGGGGGGGGCAGGGGGGTGTCAGTAGCAGGATCCAGGCGCCCAAGTGGAATTAACAAAAAGAAAGCAGAGAAGTCACTGGAAGGCTAGGGTGTCGGCACGGGACTCTCACCGTACAGGACATCCTGTCTTTTCACCACCTCTCGCTTTTGCTTCCTCACGTACGCCAGGTCAACAGACAGGCTCCAGGACTCGGCCTCGAACTCGTGGGCGTCTGACTCGATCTCACTCCTCAGCGAGGCGGTGTACGGATCTGCGGGCAGAACCAGTCCTGCTGCTCCAGGGCTTAGCGCTTGGCCAACGTGGCCTCCCCGCCCCACCCCCTCCTCAGGGACACGTTTTCATCAGTCCGTATACTTCCCACTGCGGGTGGGAACCCTCTGCAATCCACAGAAGGAGAGAGGTGTTTGTACCTTCCACAAAAACGGACTCGGCATTCGAAGACGGAAGTGAGACGGAGTCATCAGCCGCCTGCTTGAATTTCGAGAACCCGGAGTCGGTGTCATCCATCTCTCCTGTAACCGATCTAAAGAAAAATCATAAAAGCTATCATTTCAGAAAGTTAAATCGTGCACACGCATACACCCCACTCTACAAAAGAAACCAGACGATGACCCAACCTGACTACATGCTAAGTGAGAGTTTTCCGGATTTCAGTGTAAATGTCACTGTGTCATGGGTGGATTTTAAAAATTGAGGGACTATTCTGTCAATATAAACATTAGGACTTCTTCCATCAGAACTAACCTGAATGTTCAGGGACATTCTAAGGGTGCAATAACTGTAGGCCTCCTTTACCAACACTGGAATCCCGGGTGGTGCAAACAGTTAACGTGCTTGGCTGCTAACCAAAAGGTTGGGTGTTCGAGTCCACCCAGAGGCACCTCAGAAGAAAGGCCTGGCAATCTACTTCTGAGAAATCAGCCATTGACCCCGTGGAGCACAGTTCTACTCTGACACACATGAGGTCAGGATGAGTCAGGTTGACCTGATTGACGGCAATTGGCTCTTCACTGACTACTGGAGCCCATGGAAGCCCCGGAAATTCTTTCTACCAACGGTTAAGTGCGCCAGCCTCACAGTTAGGGGCGGAAGGATAGTGCTTTCTTTCTTTGTTTTTAATTGCTGTAAAAATACATAAAACACAACATTTGCCAATGCAATGTTTTTCGCAGGTATGATTTAGTGGTATCAATTATGTGAATCATGTTGTGCAGCCCTCACCAATAAGTGTTGCCAAATTTTCCATCACCATAAACCGTAACTCAAGGCTGGTCCTTTCTCAGAGGAAAAAGGCAATGAATCAGCCCCTTTGCCCGCTGACTGCCATGTACGGCTCTCAGCCATTACATTAGGTCTCTGCACCAGCGTGATTTTCTGCCCAGACTACTGGGTGCGATATTAAGCCAACCACCTCAAAGTGCCTGCACAGCCAGAAAGGCTCTAGACAATGGGCTGCGATCTCCGTGGCACCCTCAGCGGGACTCGGGACCCCATCCTGGACACAGTGAGAAGCTCTGTCTGAGGGACAAGTGCAAGAACATTCTGGAAGGGTGTGAAGCAGCAGCGCACCGGCTCCAAATGGCTGAAACACACCCGCAACGCATTGCTTTGGCAAAAAGGAGAAGAGATAAATCTCGGAGCCAAGTGCTAATGGGCCTTTCACGCTCAGCGCGGGGCGGGGGGGGGCGGCTTGTCAACAGCTCCCCAGGGTGTGGGGCGGGGGTGCCTCTGCCTGCGTTAGTGACAGAGAAGGGAAGTGGCTTACCCGAGTCGCGCCCCTGTTCCAGTCGGGCTCAGTGCTGGCGGTGCAGCCCCCTTCTGCGGGACCGTCATGCCGGCCTTCTTGGACAGGATCGGGCTGTCATCGGGGGACAGAAGGGTGCCCCGTGGGCGCTCCTTCATTGAGGCTGCGACGGAGGCAAACACAGAGTTGGTGCTCAGAAAGTGCGCAGGGTAGCGGAGGGTGCCCGCCTGGAAGTCCCTCTCGGGCCGCGGCCGCAGCACGGACAGGACCTTGGAAGTCAGCAGCTCATCATCTAGGAAGACCTTCTCGTTCCATTTCCGAGGAAAAGAGCCGTAGAAGGACAGCTCGGGGCGGCCCGGGAGCGTGCCGCTCCTGTCGCTGCTTTTGGCGTGTGTGTTCCCCATGTTCACACTCGGGGCGCTGAGGTGCTGCTGCCTCGCACTGTTTTTATACCTGCGGTGTGATCCTTCTAGAAATGTAAAGCTGCGTCTTCCCTGACTGTATTGGCTAGTCGGCGGGTCTGGAGGGCAGGAAATTGGTCCCCACTGTGACCGCTTGGGTGGAAACTGCAGTGTTTTTCCCTTTGGTCAAACGTAAAAACCTACACCTCTCAGTCTCCACAGGTGGTAAAAGGCAGAGAGCAGTTGCCGTTAGCTATAAATCATCTACCATCGCGAAACAAGGAGGTCTGCACCTGCCAGGGTTCCTGCCAACGCCGCATAATTATGATCCCAATTAATCTATGATCTGATGTCAGGATGACTCAAAGACCAAGGACCACGGCAGGCACAGTGTTTGACTGCCCGTGGTGCTGTGCACAGCCCTCTAAGTAGCATTTGATCACCCGAGTGGGCAAGGGGCTTCTATTGCATTTCATGCAGTAATTGTACACCAATCTCCTATGCAACAGGTGCTCCAAAGTGTTGTTTTCACCCGCCTGCACGTTAACCGAGCAGACCTTGGGTGGTGCAAACAGTTACTGCGCTTGGCTGCTCACCGAGAGGTTGGAGGTTCGAGTGTACCCAGAAGCCCCTCGGAAGAAAGGCTTGGTAATCTACTTCCAAGAAACCAGCCATTGAAAACCCTATGGAGCACAGTTCTGCTCTGACACACATGGGGGGTCGCCATGAGTCAGAATGGACTTGAGGGCAGCTGATGGTGATGGCGATAGCTTGTTAATCCGAGTTCAGACTGTAGGATGTCTGTTGTTGGGTGCTGTCGAGTTGATTCTGACTCATAGCGACCCCATGTGACAGAGCAGAACTGCCCCACAGGCTTTCCTAGGCTGTAATCTTTATGGGAGCAGATCACCAGGTCTTTCTCCCATGGAGGTGCTGGCGGGTTCGAACTGCCAACCTCTCAGTTAGCAACCAAGCGCTTAGCCATTGTGCCCCCAGGGCTCCTTGTAGCATACTTATACCCACTAATTATCTTTTCTACAGATGAAAAAAATGCAACCCTTAGAAAGCTAAGCGACTATTAGGCTGAGTTTTTTGCTCCTAGTTGAAAAGTCAACTATTTAAATTGAACCTAATTGAGATGGACTGCTAGGCTTATTTCTTCTCAAGGTGAAAACCCCGTCTGGAAGCTCCGCTCCCGGCAAGGACGAACAGCGGCATCAAGAAGAAATCTGGGAGTCCCTGGGTGGTGCAGATGGTTAAGCGCAGGACTACTAACCAAAAGGTTGGCAGTTTGAACTCAACCCAGGGATCCCTCAGAAGGGCCTGGCGATCTGCTTCCGAAAGGTCACAGCCTTGAAAATCCTATGCAGCAGTTCCACTCTGCACACATGGGGTCGCCGTGAGCTGGAGTCTGCTCGACAGCAGCTAACAACAACAACATCATTTTCCAAAGTGTAATTGCTACTAAAAAGAAATCTGTGCAGTGGCCTTCCTGACCTGCTCCCGAGGCCCCAACACACCCACCCGGCGGTTTCTCCACACGGGGGTCGGCCGAGCCTGCCCAAGAGGACAATGCACGTCACGCAGGAGCCTTTCTGGGGGCTGATATGAAGTGTTCTGTATGCATTTCAATACAGGTGGAAATTTCGGGGGATTGCACGGGTGCTTATGGCTGTTCTGGCAGAGACAATTTCCGGCAGAGGAGTGGTGGAGAACACTTACATCCACGTGAGATGACACATCTATGATTTCACGTGTTCTCCGAGCTACCCTTCTTCTCCTTTCTTTACAATTGTGGTGAAAACATACACAACAGAACATTCACCAATTCAACAATTTCTACATGCACAATTGAGTGACACTGATTACACTCTTCATGTTGTGCAAACCGCAGCCCTGTCCTTCTCCAGATTATTCCACCACCATGAAAACAAATTCAGTGCCCTCTAAGCAGTGGCCCTCCCTCGCCTCCTCCCTGCCGCCCCCAGTAACCACTAGTAAGCTTTGGTTTCTATCCCAAAAACCAAACCCGTTGCTGTCCAGTCGATTCCGACTCGATTCCAACAGAGTAGAACCACCCCATGAGGTTTCCAAGGAGCGTCTAGTGGATTCCAACTGCCGACCTTTTGGTTAGCAGCCAAGCTCTTAACCACGGCGCCACCAGGGCTCCTTGGTTTCTATCCGTTTGCCTATTTCATATAAGTGGGATCATATACTCTTTGTCCTTTTGTGACTGACTTATTTTGCTCAGCATGATATTTTCAAGGTTCATCCATGCTGTGGGCTGCATCGGGACTTCATTTGTCTTTATGTCTAACACTCCATTGTGTGTATAGACCACATTTTGCTTATCCATTCATCTGGTGATGGACATTTTGGTTGTTTCCACCTGTTGGCTATTGTGAGAAGTGCTGCAGTGCACATTGGTGTACAGGTTTCTGTTTGCATTCCCGCCTTCACTTCTTCTGGGTATGAGCTACACATTCTTTACCATAGCTCAACGCATTAAAGGTGACTTTTTTTCCCAGTGAACTCAAACACCCTCATGCCGTGATAATGAAGGGCTAACAATCACTACTCTTACAATAGGCAAAGGCAATGAAGCTGTCACTCGTATACAAACGTCCCTCTACAAACCCGTGAGTCAAGACCTCCACAGTGCAGTGCCGCCATTTCCTGCCTTTTTTACACCACACTAACTCCCGCCTGAGTCAGAATCGACTCGACGGCAACAGGTTTTAACCCCCACCTGGGCAATTATGACCTAAACACGCAAACACAGGGCACATCCTGATAACGAATCAGTGTCCTGGTGTGGCTGGCCGACTCTGCCTGCTGACCAACGTCTTGCCCCAAGCTGAGTGCGTTCTGAGTTAAGCAAAGAGTTCACAGAAGAAAAAAACAAAACCAAAATCACTGCTGTCAAGTTGATTCCGACTCATAGCGACCCTATAGGACAGAGCAGAATTGCTCCATACAGTTTCCAAGGAGCTGGTGGATTTGAACTGAGGAACTTCTGGTTAGCAGACAGAAGAAAAAGTGACCACAAATATCATCCAAGAATCAAAGACTCGCTGATTCCAAAGAATTTAATAAGCGATCACGAACATTCAATGTATGCTCACAGACTAATGTCTTCTTTGGTGACTTGGAGTCCCTGGGTGGCACAAACGGTGAACGTGCTTAACTACTAACTGAAAGGTTGGAGGTTTCAGTCCAGCCGGAGGTGCCTTGGAAGAAAGGCCTGGTGATCTAATTCTGAAAAATCAGCCATTGAAAACCCTGTGGAGTTCAGTTCTAATCTGACACACATGGGGTTGCCATGAATTGGAATAGACTCAATGGCAAGTGGTTTGGGGACTGGTTGGTGATTTCAGAGCTATTTTAAGTTTTCGTGCTCCTGGGTCCTAATTAGGGACACGGGCGCTGTTAGGCTCAAGACGTGTATGAGGGATAGAACTTTAGTGAAAAGAAAGATGGTCCACCTTCTAACATACCAAACAACTTACTTATTTATGCTGATTATTGTTGGAGGTCTCCCCACGCCCCGCTAGCGTGGAGAACAGTCTCTTGCACAAAACAGGTGTCAAGAAGTAATTGTTTCTTTGTGGTGATGGAGCAGTTCTGAATCCAGATTATGGTGTTGGTAACGCCAATCTGTACATGGGATAAAATTTCATAGAACTATACAACCCCTGCCCTCCCTTATACAACCCCACGCGTATAACGGGGCAAAATCCAGATAGGGTCTGTCCCAAGTTAATAGCATCGTACCAGTGTCAATGTCCTGCTTTTGACAATGGGCTAGGGTTATGTAAGACATCATCCTTGGGGGAGGCTGGGTGAAGGGTACATTTCTGTACTATTTCTGCAACTTCTTGTGAGTCTCACACTATACACCAAGATAAAAAGTTACATTACAAAATTTTTTTAGAGTTGTTGAGAAGTGATTATATTTTAAAAGATGAAACCTGTGTTTGCTCACATACACCTTGTAGTTCCTCAGAGCACTGATAATCTTTGTATTTCTTTACAACTTATTACACATACACTTTCAAAATGTAGCTGAGATGACCTTCCATTTTGGGAAGGGGAACTTACAGAAAAGTTTAATGATGGACACTTAGCAGCAATGGGACCTACTGAAATAAACGAGGCTTTTTCCTCTGGAGCATTCTACGCTCCAAGCTACTTAAGACTTAAAATAAAAGGCAGACAGTCACGAATTGAGCCTTTCTGTCACACACAGCCATGGAAATAACTGACCCACTAGGACACGGGCCAGTGGATCTGCCTGGGGACCTGGAGGTCTCTCTGTCTGGGCAGAGACAGCCTTGGACCCCCTCCTGCCAGTTTTCTTGTATCTAGTTGGAGGGTCCAACCCATGCCAAACTTCTGTGAGGCTGCTGGTGGGAATGTAAAATGGTGCAGATGCTTGGAGAACTGTCTGGCAGTTCTTCAAATGGTTAAACAAAGAGTTACTGCACAAGACAATCATCCCACTCCTAGGTATATACCCAAGAGAAATGAAAACATACATCCACACAAAAACCTGCACACCAATGTTCACAGCAGCATTATTTGGAATAGCCAAGAAGTGGAAACAACCCAAATGTCTATCAACGGATGAACGGATAAACAAAATGCAGTGTATCCACACAATAGAATATTATTCAGCCATAAAAAGGAATGACATTCTGGTCTGTGCTACGACATGGATGCACTTTGAAAACGTTCTGCTAAGTGAAATAAGCCAGACACA